AACAACAATTGAGCTCCTATTTAGGGTGACAGGAAACCTTTTTTTCCTGACACTGAATTAAATATTTCAAAAATAATGGCGGCTTTTCTGTTTTATTATATATAATCTATATCAAGTCAACTGGAATCTGCCACAATAGTCAAATGGCTGCAAACACTTTCTAACAATAGCAGTGATTACAGCTTCCTATTCTAGAGCTTTTTATTTTATTTATCTTAAACTACTTGGTAATAAAAATAACAATCAAATTGAGTGATAAACGACCAAACAGATCCTTAGAGAACATTTGTTTGATGTTGAACGTTACTTGTGGCTTTATATACAGTAAGTGACAAGAAGGCGACACAAAGCTTTGACACCGTGTGGTCTAAATGTTTATGCTTCGATTATATAACGTTAGACATAGCGCAAAAGCCCACAGCTGTTGTTATGATGTCTTCTTAAAATGAACAAATAGTGTCGTTTCAGTCGAGTACCAGAAAATAACACACAACGTAGGTCTCGAAGGCCGCTCGGTTAAAGCACCGCATAGGCGTTTTGCCGAGACAAATATCTCTCCACCTAGGTCGATTTAGCCCAAAAATTAAAACAAATCATGCAATTCCCTTGTAATAATTCCCGTATAATTATACAATGACCACCAAGTGAGAAATTAGCCAACGCTAATTTTTGATACGTTAGTGGACGTTGTGTCGCAAAGGGAAGCTAACGATATGACAGCTAACATTATACAACCTTTGATTGCATTTTAAACGGCATTTCCGTCAGATAGCCAATTGAGAAAGGCACATGCTATGAGTATAATGTTTTTTTTAAAGATAGCAGAATAATATTTGACCAATAGATACCGTTTTTTATTAATATTGTTTGACCTCTCTCACGTTAGTTGTAGGTGTTGTTACCTCATTGGAAGCTAATGCTAATTCAAGCACAAGAAACCGACACCATACAGTTCGCTGCACGAAAACAAAAACAGTCTATCACAACTAATGACAAAAACAAAAAAGATTGTTGTCAATTTCCCCAAAAAAGAACACACCCTTGCCTTTAATTGCAACGCAACAACTAAATCGTCAAAAGGACCATAACTGCAGATGCTAGCCATCACTAGTAAAATACGCTAGCTTGTGGCTCAAGTAAAAATGGCTATGTAAACATGGCCAAGGTCCCACAGAGCTGCATATATTTATATAGATACGTTTCTAAGTGTCCAAGTTACCACGCAGAAATGACAACACAGCAAACAGTTCTTAGCACAAGCTAGCTTCAGCAGACATAGCTTGTTCGAAAACTAGCGAAACGGCAATCCCGTTTAACTCCAGTCTAGAGTTCCCAAAACAACTCTGGCAGGCCGGGGATTTTTAGAGCAGTTGCATGTGTGCTTGGCATTATTACACAACTCGTTTTTTCACAGTACATCACAATAAAACACTCGGACCTATGCAAACACTTTCAACAGTTCGTGTATATTTTCAAAACGGTATCACGACAGAGATGGGAATGTAGGACAAGGCGATTAAAAATGGCTGCTGCCCAGAACAAAGCAACAATAAAACTGGGCAGCGGAGAAGACAAGTAAAATTGGAGATTTTTCACAACCACCCGCATCCATAACTTACCGATTCAAAGACTTAGTGTATCTTCTGGTCAGTGAGACTGATATATTTCCACAAAATGTTGTAAATTCAAAGGATGGATGGCGATTGCAAGCCCAATCTTAGACCGATCGCGGCGTTGTTGCTGGGATTCTACCCGGCCTGGAAATGAACAGAGCTGAGTGTAGGCTGGATCGGCTCGGCTGCGAGCGTCATACGTCACACAACGTCGTTGGCATGGAAACGCACCAAAAAGCACCTCTTCTGGCCGATTTCAGTCCCTAGATACCCCTATTCATTTTTTAGCAATGTTCATATTCTTTTAAATATAAACATTAGATTAACAACAGCAGTAAGTGTCACTGCACAAAATCTAAAATATACTCTGACCACTCTGACATTGCAGACAACATATTAACATTTAATTAAAAAAGTAACATTGGATCAAAAAGGGAGCACCCAGTGATTATAACATGAGCTGGTGTATATCCTGCAGAAGCTGGAATGGGCTTCTGCAGGGTATACTCAATTTTTACAATGTTGTCTTTAATTTATCTATAGATAGATCAGCGTAGACTGCTTCGCAGATAATTTTTCTGATACAGTGTCCACAAAGTAACTGTACACAATTATAAGAATCTTCACTCTCATTGTAAAATAGCTTACATTTAGTGCTCTTTCAACAACTGATTGCAGCCTATAATTTATTTAACACTCACAACTTAATCATGCATGTACATCATGCATACCCTGTCAATTAAAATATAGAGGAATACATTACACTATATGTTAATATATTGTAAATATGTACATAGAGAAATTAACTCAGCAAATCAGAATCTCAATAAAGCTAAAGAGCCTGTATGTGTTTACATTCAGTTGTAAACACATACAGGTTTACGTGTTATAGTTTGGGATTCATATTCTGAATCTGATTTTATACCGTTCTTCTTATTAAAAAAGCCTCCAAACCCAAATATCTTTATGTGCATTAAAAGAAAATCAACATAACATGCTGCTTCCCTTCACAGAAAATGTGTCAGGGAACATATGATAACTTCTGCTGAAAGAGATTTTCAATTAGTAGGACAAAATGATATAAAATAATTGAAGGAATTAAATCAGACAATCAGCAAAACAAGGAGATGAGGAATACTGAAAGATAGAACAACAGACACAGTGGCCAGATTCAATTAAATGTCTTTTTTTTTTTTTATTACTTGGCTGATATTTACATGTCACAGTCTGCTATGTTAAACATGTTTACATAGTTTGTGCTGCTTTGAGTCCTTATTACAAAAAACCCCCAATATATTTACAAAACGTAGTGCTCATGAGTCAAGACAAGCTGGCCCCTAGAGGGAGCACTTGTCCCACCCTTCTTCAACCATTTGTTTCAAATGGCTGCAAATATGTTATCTCCTTCTGATCCACCCAATACTGTATGAAATATATCAAGTTACTCATGCAAATGTTTAGTACAATTCACATTATGAAAGTTGAACTAGAAACAACAAAAAATGAAATATCAACACAATTAATGCAGTTAAAAGGTGGTGTCTAGTGTCTAGTCCAAACACATAACTCCCTCCACCACTTTGACAAAATTACATTTTAATGGAGCTATGTTACAATCCAGGGACTATTTAACTTGAAAAGCTTTTAAGGGCGAATAGCTTATTGTACGAATGAAGGAACATTTCTGAATATTTTAGGAAGATGGGAAAATGCAAATGCTTAACGATCCCCAGAATACCTGTTTGTCATTATAACATGAGTTAATACCTTGATGATACACAGAGGTAGCTGCTGGAGCGTTGAGGTGTCTATTGTTTCTTTAGAGCAGGACTCAAAGAGTTCAGAGAGACACAACAGTAGGAAGTGTGGTGTGGTCTGTTCAGCCTGTTCATGTGAACCCTGCAGAAACAGACCTGTAAGCACTATCAGCGCTTACTCATAGGGGTATTGTGTGTACGTGTTATGTATGCAGGGTTGTGGAGGCCTATATTCTGGTGCAACATCAAACAAACCTGCACTGGGACAAGCTCTAGTTTGGTTTGGTGGCGTTGCTCATGAATTGCTATAAGAAAATCCTCCCATATGAAGCTGTAATTAAATGCAAGGTAATGACAAGACAGCAAACTATTTCACCTTTAGCAACTACAGAGACAGTCATCATATTATATTATCAAGTGACTGCAGCTGGATTACTGACTTTTATTCAAAAATATTCATCAATCTTAAGGTGCAGACATATTTGTATTTATTGTGGTATACATATTAACACAAATTAATCTGAACCTGATTCTCAAGAGACACCCTGTGTTTGTGGCAGCTTAACTTAGTGTCCAAGCCTCTCAAATGATTAGATCAGCATTATGCTGAGGGAAAAATCCCATCTCCTCTCTGCTTTTAAAAAAATGTTGAACTCAAAACAGTTTCTTATTAAGGATGAGTTGTGCTTGTGATGTCTAACAAAGCATACAAAACTAGGTAACACATACACATCTCTGACTGCTGAAGCTCTTTCCTTCTAACTCTTTCTGCAAGAGATGATTTCAAAAGCAGTTTCTGTTCCTGCTTTTTTCAACAGTTTTAGAGCACACACATTGCAATGGTGTGTTTCCTGTCAAAGCGTGTTGTGGCTTATGTCAGCTGACAGGAAACCAGCCTTAATAATAGAAAATAGTTACATCAAAACATTGTTGTCTCTCTCATTCCAGTACACTATGGTCAAAAATGACAGGAATGCACCATTAGACTGAAAAACTCAGTATATATGTTAACAAAACAACTCAAGACTTATGTTAAATAAGTGAACCCCTTTTTCTCAAACTGCACAAAGCACTTTAGTGGTTATTTAGTTGCACTGGATCTTCTGAGATTTAATAGAGGATCTTTTCATTTGTTTTTTAGTTGTATGTATTTCTCTGTGCAATAAGTAGGATACATTTGTATGCGTCCCCCCCTTAAGTATATACTATTGACCATGGGAGAGCTGTCCCAACACTTATGGTTTCACACTTCCTTATTATTTTGCTGACCAAGTTCTAGACCATGTGATAACTGAGGGTACATGTGATTATTGAAATGGACAAAACACATTTTTTTTTTGGAGAGCCACTTTATATAGGTAGTTAAGCTTCCTTTAGGATTCAGAAACAATCACTAAATACAGTTTAATGTATTTTTCCTCAATCTATTTGGCTCACAGTTTCACCCAAATCTAAAATATTTGCATAACCTTGTTTTGTTAATGTTGAGTATTCCAGGTGGACAGATGCACGGCAACACCAAACATCCACATTATTCATCCTGAAAATCAATATAAAAACAAACATTCAAATTCTTCTTCTTAATGTTCTCATGAGAAAATAATAAAACACAGAGGCATCCACATTTTACTGAGAGCCCACCTCGTTTTATTAATGAGATGGAAAAAGTACAAAGTAAAAACCGGACAGATCTCTGTACAGAACAAAGCAAACTAATGAAGACAAAACTGTATTTACACACCAAACCAATTAAAAGTTTCTCACAAAAAACAGCAAGTTTTATTCAAGGATCCATACAAATACACATTTGAAAAAGAGAGAACATCTGTTAATTCATTAGTTTTATGGGCATATAATTAGCATCACTGCATTAGCATGTGTTAAGCTGAGGTACAGAAGTGAGAACATATCTGCTAGGAAACAAAAAGAGGGTTAGACTCAGTAAATCATAAATGGCACGTAAAAAGTTATAGTTGCAAAAATGGTGTCATTCGTTTTACACAAGCAGATCAATTCAGAGGTATCGAAATTAGTTGAATCAACATTCAGTTAAAACAGAATCCAATAGTCATGCCAATCAGAAACAATTATCAAAATATCCAAACAACCATCACTTTATATATGTTATTGTTACATTCAATATTAAAGTCTTACACCAAGCTAATCAGTGTCCAACACGGTTAAAGCATATCACTATTTCAAAAATAAAAGCACAATTATTAAGAACAATTGAGAAAAGAGAAAGAGATAGCAGGGAAGGAGGAAGTAAAAGGAAGTAAAATGGCAAAGAGGAAGAGGCACACAGAATCAAGAGAGAATTTGTTGAATAGAAAGAGTTGCAATTATACCAGTTTTCATACTGCATGAGTATAAAAAAGAAAGAGAAAGAAAATCCTACATGTGCAATTTGACCAGTCAAAAAGTATGAATTGTTGCATTAATATAAGGACTTATTTGAAATTAAGCAGATATATAAGTTTGTTTTAGTAGGTTTGATTGAAGATGCTAGGATTTGTAAAGCATTATGAAGTTTTGTGACATGCCTGTCCTGGGTGTTACATGCAAGCCAGCCTTTGATTCCAAAAATCTAAATGTTCAGGTCACACCCTGCGATAAGAACTTTGGAGCTTGCAAAAAAAACTTCACCTGAGTCCTTATAACTGTGAGATTAGTGTATCAAATTAGCCTTGAGCGCTAGCATAGAATTATATCAAAAACTCAGAAAAAAGGGCTCCAGCTGAACGTGCCGATAGAAATAATAGTCTGACAGGTGCTTGATGAGAGCCAAACTGTCTCCATCAAGCTGAAGTGGAGCAACCCCAGCGCGAAGCCGCACACCATATCAGTTAGGTGGTGTTTTCCCAGCAGCACACGGGACATGCCCACCAGAACGGCCCACAGCACGAGCAGGATGCGTAGCGGCACAGCCAGGACCAGGTGAGACAGCAGGAACTTGGAAACCATGGCGGCCCGGCTAGCGTGAGCAGCTGGGAAGGAGTAGAGGTCCATGGCAACGCAGTCCAACAAGCTCGGCATCATCTCCCAGGGTCCTCTGCGCTTCACCAGTCTCTGGACGCCAGCCACAGTCAGGACATCAACAATGAGGGCTGTCGAGAAAAAGATAACAGAATGGATGACACGGTAGAAAACTTAAATGGTGAAGGTAAATGCCATTGCTTGATATTAAATTAAATGATCTGTCGCATCAGCCTCAGATTCACATTTAATAATGTAGTCAGAATTTAAAATGTAGGCCTGTCCAGTTTTCTAATTTCGGACTAAATTGAATGACATTTCCATCAGTGTCAGCTGTTTCGGTTTGACGGTAATTAGCAAATGTTAAAATGAGGGTTGTCGTGATATACAGGTATTTAAATAAATAAGGATATCAAAAATAAAACAGATATGTTAATATTGTATAAAAAAATCTGCATTTTTTTGTAGACTTTGGTAAAGTCTTGGGTACAGAATCTCTATCCACACCTATGTGTAATTCATCCAAAAAATGTAATAACAGAAAGGGAAAAGTGTAGTGAAAAATCTCATATATGGACAGCCCTAGGTAAAATGCTAACATGCTAAACTATAATGGTGAAAATTATACGTTGAACCTTCTAAAAATCTGCATGTTAGTATGTTACAGTTAGCATGGCTGCTAGCATGGCTGTAGTCTTTAAATCCTGTTTAATCTATAAATAATCCAGGGCATAATAACGGTAGTAAGATAACTGGACAGTATGGTTTTATGGTTTTGGAGTCAGTATTCAAATAAAACAGAAAACAATTATAGTACATATGTAAATTGATATGTGGTTACCGAGAATAACCGATAAGGCATACAATACCGAGAAGCATTTGCTTTGAGTCCACATACCAGACATTTGTCGATGCTCTTTATAGCTCTATAGCACTCCCAAAAATACCCCTACCATTGCCATGTTTAACTTCTGTTAAAGTCTGCCATCTTCACACAACCAACCACGCGCTAAATAACTGTCAGTCGTTTGACATATTGGTTATGCTGCCCTACTTGTCATTCCACTCGCCCACTGCCTGTCCCAACAGGACCATTATTTTAAACTCCCTCAACTCCTTAAAGGGTGGTAGGAAAGACGGTGGAGAATACTAAATAAAAAGATTAAGGAATAAAAGAGAGGTGGGCTCATTAGTAAAAAAAAAAAAAGGGGGAAAAAGGAAACTGTTCAGGAGCTAAGCAGACAATAAAACTGATGGATATTAGAGACATGCACACTGGCAGACTATATCTCAAACGTATTGATGGAAGCCGTCAGTGAGCCAAGCAATGAGGCATCATAGAATCAGCTGTAAAGACAAGCTGTGTTTAATTCCCTTCAGCTGAATAAAGCAACAGTTATGATTTGGTTTGTCTTCTGGAAATTCTGGTTTTACTTTCTGATGTTTCCACCCCCCAAAAAAAATGTGTTTGCAGATTGTGTGACTGCTTCATCCCAGCCTGGGTTTGTGTCATTCAGGGTCCATGGCTGCAGGCAGTCAGATTCTGAGCTCACATCTAGTGTTGAAAGGGAAACTGCTGTATTGAAAATTGTATTGAAACTCCATCTCTAGTCTGCCAGAGTCTAGCTAACTATAATCTTTGTTTCTCACACTACCATGTTAAAATGAAGGAGTACTATAACAACAATATATGCTGTGCTATAAGTTTCTTCTATCCAATTTCAGCAATGATGAGTCTATAGCTGATTGAAATGGACTCAATTTTTTTTACTGGATATACAAAAACACAACATTAAGGCCCATCTTGGACCCTTCCTAAATTCCACTTTTTACTGCTCATCCAATTACACCTTTACAATTGTATTCAGCTCTTTGAAGATGATTTAACCTATTTGAGATTACCATGTCTGGGACAGTTATTTCCTATCTTTTAATTCAATTTTTTGCAATATTTGAATTCGTGCAGACCTGTATTGTTTATATGACAATACAAAGGTTGGAATTGAATAGGAAAATATCTGCAACAACAGTCTTTTTAAACGGCAATACATATCTTTTTAAGTAACTTTGGGTACGCAGAAACAAGCTGTAAACACAATACTGACCTATTACATATTTTGAAGTTCATACGGCAAAGAGTTGTGTATTTATACACCCAGCAGATTTGGAGCAATGTTATACTTCATTCATTTAGAGATGATTATGAATCAAGCACTCACTCTCTATGCGCTTTGTTATACCCACCAACTCCTGGGAAAAATATCTGTATTTATAGATGCTAAATGCTCGTCATGTATACACACGCTACTCATTAACTTGATTTGTTTGCCGTTTATTACTTGGCAGATAGCCCACAGTAGGTTTTAGAGCTTTTTCGCTGAAGAACAGAGCTGTTAGGGGGGTAAAAGTGAACCAGAACAAGTCAAAAGATCCTATAAAGCTGAGGGTTTCTTCAAGCATATTCTTTATAGTACATGTAGTCATGTGATTCACCGTTAGAATACACATTTGATTAGAATGGCTTCAATTATCTTGGTATCGCTGAATTTCCTTTTACCTTAGAAAGCTGCAAGAGCTGTTTACAGGCACTAGAAATATAATACTGACCCATCTGCTCCATCAAGCTTGATGACAATGTAATTAAAGACAACAGCTGTGTGGTGTGATGTCATGTCTTTTTGATGCTGTATTCTTCCATTCAGGCCTCAAAAACAGCACAAGGAGTTGGGTACACCAGACTGCATCATTGATCTTATCTGGCCATGTGGTGAGAGTGATGTTATTGATATTGTCGCCATCACATCTGTTCACCTAGTTGCCTAAATTATTCCTTTTTGCACCACTGTTAAAAAGGGTTTGTGCATGATTTGAGGGAAACTTGAATTTGTGTAGGGACAGAGTAAATAAGTTATACGAAAGAATAAAGCGGAAAACACCAAAGCAGGGCTGCAACTCAGACGATATGGATGGAATATCCTCTGCACAGTCAAGGTTTGCTTTGGGAGTCCCTGAGATGCTCAGTAGTATTGCAGAAATTCCCAGAGGCCATTTCAAAACACTGTATGGGAAATATATTTCTGCACTGCACATTTCATTTGCTCATGGCAATGAACTGAATCAAACCAAAACTGACAGGCCAGTCTTGGCTGATTACTTCCTTGTTAGGTGAAAACAAAACTGAATTTGTCCAAGTGTTGAATATAATTTCCCCAACCAATGTTCAGCATGTCTGTACATTGTATCCCGACAGACAACAATAGACTAGAAGATATTATCCTGGACCAACAAATAATGACCAGGAATTTGTGGCTGAACAATGTCCCAAACACAAAACAAAACATTGTCCTAAATCCAGAGATTTAGGCTTCCAATCTGAGCTCACAGCCAGGAGATTAGTACTGCTCTGTTTAATCAATAATCTGTGTTAAGGTCCATGATGCATATTTGTGTGCACATGTGTACCTGTGCACTCCTATTTAGGGTCCCAAATGTATTCTTTGTGTCATTTAAAACTAGGTCGCCCATAGAGGGTCAACATATGTTTTTCACCTTTGTGTACTACTCAGGGGTTTACGAAGAGAAATGATTTCTGTTTCAGGAACGCCCTGAGCAAATTTACACAGATTCCCATTCCATTTTGACCTGTTGGTTACTTTAGTGGTAATGAGGCTTTTGAATTTTCCAAAATGTATTCTGCATGTGCAGGAGATTAAACAAATGAACTTCCAGTCACATTCTTGCTTTCTGACGCCAACAATACTATTTGTTGCATATATTTGTCATCTTGGGTCATTACTTTGTGCATGGCTGTATTAAATTGCATGCTATTGGCACATTACACAAGGTGTCACTCATTATAAAAACATGTCATTGAAAGTGACACATCTTAACATTCCCTCCTTTTTCTTGCAAAGTCTGCTTTTCTTATTATCTGTTACCGAAGAACTATCAGAACAATATTTAATACAATGATTAAAAAAGGGACATTTTGTATCATAAAGTGTATGAGTTTGAAAACATAATCTGATACTTACTACTAATAATCCATACCTTATGATGGTTTAATAATGGTTATTCAATCAGTTATTTATACTTTAAAGATCATATGTCAGAAAGTTATAATAAGTCAGCCATAAGTACATTTTGAGGTTGTCATGTCGTGAACATTTCTTTCTCATCCCATAATATTTGAAGTATTAATACTAGGTGTAATAATAATTAAACTAAGTTTAATTTAACTTAATTACACAGCTGACCTATTTAACAGTTACAGGGTACAAAGTCTCCCTTTAAAAGCTTCGACAGCACAGTTTCAGCCATGCAGAACAAGAGTGCATTAGTGACCTGCTCATAGTGCATTCTGGGTATTATACTGCTGCTTTTTTGTGGTTGGAGTGTAGTGGTGTGGCATTTACCAAGCAGCAGGTTGACCAGGACCTCCTGCCCTGCCAGAGTGTTACTCCTCGTGAGACACAGGAGAGTGCCAATGATCCACGTGATGCCGTGGCCTGTGAACGACATTAGGGACACCATGGAGCGGCAGCCTCCACAGGACGAGTACGTGTACGCGCAAACCCCCATGCGCTTAGACAGGCAGATGTCTATGGCGAGGAGGGAGTTCTTCGCGATTCCCTTGAAAGAGGGGTTCAGCAGCATACAGTCTTCTTCGGGCAACTTGCTGGGCTCGACCGGTTCCTCACTCGGCTGGCTTGTTTGGTGCTTGATCGGACCGGGTCTCCTCGCGCCCCCTCGGCTCTCAGGGGGCCCGCCGCCGCTGCGCAGGGGCTGGTTCAGAGACAGAAACTCAGGTCTGCTCAGGACGCTGTTTCTCTCCCTCGCCCTGGCTCTCACAGTGTGACTAGATGGCATGTTTGAATAGGGCCAAGTTCTCCTCTGCAGGTGCTAAAAAAACGATTGTCAATCTCAGGAAGGTGATTCAAGTGGTGCGAGTCCACCACGACAGTGAACCGTCCCAGGATAAACCCCTTTCAACAGTCCTCCCCCTCTTGTGGCCTTAATAGATATATTTAGACCAGCTGGAATGTGCAATGGCCATGCTGTTTATACCGAGAGTCATGCACGCTGGAACAGTTCATAGAGTGGCATTTGCCTCGGCCAATCCGGTGAAACCCGATCTACAGCATGGAGATAAAATAACAACATGGGCATCTTGTTACGCCAAAGCATGGCACAATAACACAATTACAGAGCTAGCAGGTGCTTTACTGCCAACCAAGAACAACATAATAAGTGTAAACATTGTGCAAGAAAAAGGCTAGGCAAGAAACGGTGTTGACATCTTACCGATTTTAGGATGAATATGAAGCAAAACGCGTCACTTTAAATCTGCCCTGGAGCCATAACATGCCCTGGCAGCGAGGAGAGTGGGGTTTAGTTTAAAACGATGCAGGCTAGACCTGAAATAGTAAACTGCCGTCAGCTAATATAATCAACAAAGGGTGAGGACAGGGAGGCAGTCCTGCCAGTGCAGCATCTGGTACTTCCGTGCGGATTTGACGTAATTTTACGCACAATCGCGATTCAACCTCTGCAGTGCGCTCTGCTGTGGAGCGGAGTTCTCCAAGGTGCTTAAACAGACCGCGGCGGCAAGCAGCACTGCCATGATGTCAACTTTATGGAGACAAAGAGCTTAAAAATAAACCAATGCAAATACATTGAGTAAATACATATATAAATAAATAAACATTGTGTTGTGGTTGTGTCGCGGAGAATATAAATCAATAGATGACGATGAATCAATGAAAATACTTGTCACATAAGTGAATAGAAACAAAAGCACCCAATAATGAAAAATATGATTGTAAAATGATACACCAAATTAGTTATTGATTACTTTATACAACAATATCAAACCTGAAATGCCCTGACATCTCTTTTTAAATAAAAATAAACGTCATTGGCACGATGTTATACTCTAATATTAATTACAATGGGACATCAAATGTTATTAAATATAATCAAACATTACATAAATAAATAAGTACACGTTATTATTAATTAAAGTAATTTATTCATGGTATCAAGTCAATTAAAATGCTATTACTTCTAGGCTATAATAATGATGAGATAAATAATGATGAGATAGATAGATAGAGAGAGATATGTACTTTATTGATCCCAAATTGGGAAAGTATTTAGTAACAGTAGCAGCAGTGTGTTCAGGCATTACAATCTTTAAAAAGTATAAACATAATATAAAATGGAATTAGCCTACATTTTTTTTTTTTATAAAACAATAAACAGCAGCAACATAACTACAGTAGAAAGGAAATAACTAGTATAGGCTATTTTAAACGCCAGTGTGAAAAGAGCTAACACAACATATTCTTCAACGTCATACAGAGGCTCTCAGCCTTGAATGTGATATGAGGCGAACTGTTTCACCTTTCTGTAAATTGTCCACAGCGACTACATTTCCCAGCATGCCTGGAGCTCATACCGGAAGTGTCGTCTCGATGGTACTTATAAAGCCGCTCTCAAGGCAGCTAATAGACCAATGCGAAGCGGGGTGAACCTGCCGTGGCAGCGATGGGACGAGCACGGAGAAATGACAGCTTGTGCAGGAATTTAGGCTGAACCGCATCCCAGCTCAGGCGGACGGACAGGACAGCACTGCCGGCTCGGTCGAACTATGTGACAGCTGGAGGTTCTTCGTTCTGAGGCGTTATGTTTTATTTATTTTTAAATCTAGGTATGGATTCTGTGAAACGGGTGCTAAAGTTGACCCGGCGCTGTCCTTTCGATGTTGCGGTGCTCCGGCTGAAACTCGGCTAGATTTGAACGCTTGTGGAAATGCTCCCTCTCTCCCGGCGGGACGGGGACGTTATTTGCAGCTGTAGGGGAGAAATAACGGGAGCGGCTGTGAAGGGGATAACGGAATTACCTCTTTGACCGAAGAACTGTGAGCCGCCGATCACCCTGAAGCTGTCCAGGATTTCACCAGGCTGATGACACTGGAGACTTTCCAGTCAATTGTTTTATAGGTAGACTTCTTTTTGCATGTTGTTTTTTGTGCGCAAACCCCACAATTAGTGCAAATGCACTGCATGGGCCGTTAATCCGCACATGTATAAACACGTTCAGGATAACGCTCTAAATCTCACTTTTTATTGTGAGGAATTATGTTTTTGCGGATTAAATGGAGATAAGGCTGCTACATGTAATGTGAAATTCACCTCTGGGCATCATTTTTATTATAATTCTGGACATATAGCATTGGCTAAGATATAATCGTGTAATTACAAAAATGATTACACAAAAGAGAATCTGACGCCAAGATGTAGATTTAGTAGTTTTAGTTAATTATTTAGCTCATAATTACCCGAGCCTTTTACGTGCACCTTTCCAATGGATGCATGTTGCCAAAAGGTCAAGTCCTTTTGTGAAAAATCGCTTATGAAGCAATGACTTTTAACTCTACAGCATGAACACATCTGTGCACGCATAAAGGAAAGTTTCTGTTTCTGCACTTGTTTGATGAAGTTGCGTTTACGCACCGGAAAGCATGTGCTCTACAAATATGAAGATGTTCCAGGCCCGTCTTCTTCTTCTTTTTTGAAAGAAGGTTTGAATCAAATATGTGCACAGATGCATGGCTTTTTTTTCAGGAGACAGCCTGCTATAAATAAACGCTTTTTAATCTGGTAAACTTTTTTGGAAAACATGATGTGGATCCACCTGTGGTGATTTTCTTGCTGTTTCCATGCGTATTTCTTCTTCTCCAGACCTCTGGACGTTGTTGTGGATTGTATTGCTATTTAATGCAATGGGCTGTATCCAGAGTATCAGGTGTAAGCCCAAGAGTTTCCGAGACAGTATCACCGTCCTGGAGGTGAACACTTCTATCGACCCCAACCCCACCAGCATCGACGAGTCATCCAACGTGGTCCTGCGCTACCGGACACCGCACTTCCGAGCACTTGCTCGGGTCCTAGTGCCGCCAGTAGCCGGTAAAGAGACATGGACCATCGGCTGGATCCAAGCTTGTAACCACATGGAGTTCTACAATACGTATGGAAACAAAGGGATGTGAGTATCAGGGGCTCTTTTACTATGTTACTATTATGGGGTTGAGCATGTATTCAGCACATTATGGTTGAGACTCAATAAACAAATCACTTACCAGATAAGTAAACATAAGTAGATAGGTATCTTGTATTTTCGTTAAGAAGTTTATATATACATTTTTATTTTTGTGGAATGCTTTTACCCAGAATAGAGAACTACACATTTCAAGTTTAAAGAAGAAATATTTTAACCAGAACTTCAGGAAACTAAACTAAACTCAAGCATATTCAGCACTGTGGGCAAATGTACAGAAAAATATGGTTCTTCCCCAAAACAGAGCCTTAATGTTAGTTATGTGTAATGTCAGCGTAAGAGTCTTTCTGTTTTTTACATGCTAACATTCTTAATGAAACTAGTCTAATTTAATTAAGACACTTGTCTACCTGTAAATTGCAGTGTAATAACAAAATATGACATCATATTTGCATTAAGGACGATAATTAAAAGGTTTATGGATATTTCTTTATTTCAGTAGCTCAACTATCTACAGTATATGTGGCCTGTAGCCTACAAAGTACTTGACAAAGCTGACAGACAGGAGAGCAGGACATTGGGATTGAAAATGATTGCTTTGACCTTTCAGATTTCTCCTTGTCAATTAATCTAGTGGTTACAAACATTAGCAAATGATGCTTAAAGAAAACATGCTCATCAGGACACAGTGTGACAGTTAACACTTGTCTTTCATTCATTTGTTCCTTCCTATCTCCCCCCCCCCCTCATTGTTAATGTGTGTAAGTGCATGTGTGTGGTAATGTTAGTCAGCATTGTTGTATGCTGTTGTGGGCAACCACAAGCTGACATGCACTCACATTTAGCTTTATCTGTTGAAATTGTAGCTAAGGATGTTTGAGCGCTGCACGTCTAAGATTAGAGACATAGTCCCCTCCCCAACAACCCAAACCCTATGGCCCTGCATGTGTGTTTGTGAGAGTGTTAGAAAAAGAAATAGACAGTCAAAAAAAGACTTGGACTCAAAGGCCAGGATGATCAATGCCTTTTGTAAACCACATTTTGCTAACAGTAATTGCTTCAGTAATTGTTCATCTAAGCAACATTGTTGTATTGTGAAAATCTAATCGTCAAGCTCTTTTGTCAGGTAATTTTTTTGTTACAGATGTACTGTTCATATAAAAGGAAAATAGATGCATTCAGAAATATCCAATTTTGTAACACAAAAGGAAAAAGAAAATTAGCCCCTTCTTTAAAGCCCTAAACACTCTAATTGCCCACTTATTGCCTGGGTTCTGCGCTCTAATGTAGGCTTACTTTTCTCTAATTCTTCAAGATCGCTGAAAAAGTTTGAACAAACTACCAACAAAATGAATGCAAAGTAGCTTTGAACTCTCCATTGAAAATGACATTCATTCTAAAATGACAATCACTAGCATAGAACTGGGTCACAGTAGGTTAAAAATCATTAAGTGGCACTATAGCACATACTGTGTGCTTAAGAACATTTAAAGTCAGTGTATCATTTGTGTCCAAATTGCAGCAAACAAACACAAAATTATAAGATAACAATCTTAAACATTATATCAGCATATTGTAAGGACAGGCAACACACTGACAAAGAAGATCAGTGATCTCAAGCTGGAACTAACCAACATGCATGTAAGGGATACAAATTCAGTATATATATATAGCACTATATATATATAGGGGTCTTTGAATGCACCCACACACAAATCCCCTCTTTGTACAGTGTTACCATTTCTTCTACCACTGTAGCTCATGCATCTAAAATAGTTGTACTTCATATATAATCATCATTTCAATATTAAAGTCAATTAATTTCACAACCACATAAAGTCCACTTCTTCTTTATATCAATTTTTAAGACATATTTAGGATGCAGGAGATGATACTGCTCTCACCGCTGAGACTCTCATACTAAGTGCCTTTGATGGGAATAAAGCTTCAGCGTGCTTTAATTGGACCGAGCAGCTGAGGACGGTAATGTGGAGAATTTCTCTGTTGGCTTTGGATTCTGAACACATTCACCGTCTCTCTTCCGCCCGTTTGTTATAGGTGTCTTAATGAGTGCTTTAACTGTGGTACAGATTTGTATGGTTGTGTGTGTATATCTATTAACAGGCAGACAGGCACACACACCCAATGTGTGGTTCCACCCAGCGTCTAGTGTTGCCCTAAAAATGAAAAAGTGCTAAAAATAGCAACTGTGGCAGAAGTGAAACTAAAAAAGTAATGGACATGTATCTGTTGTAAAGTTTACTTGCATTGGGTATAGTGCTTCTTAGATTGCAAGTTAACTCTAGTCATGAACGTAAACATGGGAGACAGAGCTTCCTGCCAACATTCTTGGCAGAGCAGGGTTCAGTCTGCACACGACACTCGAGGTGCTGAGGCATGCTGTACAGTAATTGACTAGTTAATGAAATTGGCACCCTATTTCTTCACCTCCACTCCAACAGAGATTGATCCAAACTTCACCATCTGCTATAAAGTGCTCTCAATAGTATTCTGGTATTCTGCTTGGCAATATGCAAAGTTATGTTGCGAAAAATGAGCAGCAACAGGATATGGGCAATGCTCAGTAGACACACGGTTTCTCAATGATCCCGTCTGCACATTTCAGACCTAACGTTTTGAAACCTTTTACAGATCACCAGTCTTCCCAATTTCTGCCTGTGCAATCCACTTCTATACAGTAGAGTTGTGTAGAAAAACTGTCATTATATGTTGCAAGACAGCAGATATATTTTGGATGCATTCAGTGTGACTATCTCTATATCAATATCTTTGTTATAGTGGTATATTTGGCTTCATAGGTTTCTACAGGTGCAAAGATTAGTCGACTTATGGCATCTGATTATCAGTAAAAACATTAATATTCAGATTTCAAGCAGAAATGCTGTTTAGAGAATCTGACATTTGGGGATTACCTGTTTCCTGTTTCATATCATATCTAACTAAACACCTTTGTGTTTTGGACTGAAAACACAAGACATGATCTTGGACTTTGAGAAACAAGGATATTAAAAAAATGTCTCTCTTTTCCGACATTTTATAAACCAAACAATAAATAGATTAATCCAAGTAATAAATGGCAGATTTATCAATAATGAAATAATCATTATTTGCAGCCCTAATTGGTTCAGTTATATCTTTGATAGAGAGCTTTCATTGTTTATGTGTAGAGTGCATGGCCGCTGATCACTGAGCGTTTAATGTCACAGTCATCTGAAATCTTTACAAGTATCCTCGGGTATCCGCAGACATACCCCCCGAGACGTCACTGTGATAATTTGGAATAACTGACATGCTCAGAAGTCACTGTGCGAGGCAGTTTCGTTTTATTTTGTTGAGTGAATGCTTTGTAACGTTAGATTACGTTATATATTACATTGTAACATCTCTGCGGTTCTGTCACAACCACTCACATAACTTATTGCGGACTATTTGGCTGTGACAAACCAGGCAGTGAAGACACAAACAGGAAGTGAGACATATCTCTTCAAGCCTTTCACCACTTTTGATCACAGTTCCTCAGCGGGTAAAGAACTACACAACGTGCCACAGGACGAGGTCTCAGTGACTCAAACAAACCATCCACAGCTAACATATTTAATTTGAGTTCCCGACAAAAAGTGATCGAGTATTATTTGGAGGAGATTTAAAGGATTAAGTGATTTTTCAGGACACAAAAACCCAGACACAGTTCCACACACCCACACACACAGACAGCCAGCCATTATCATGCCTGACATGGTAATCTCAACCCCTGAGTGAATACATAAATCAGAATTTGAGGCTGGCCCAAGCAGGCAGTAAGTCATGTGTCTGGTGATCACACTTTTATCTCCTCTGTCCTGCTGATCTACAGCTTCAGGGAAAGAAAGGTAATCGTTCTCCTGATGCAGGCAGAAAATCCATAGGTGTATGTAGGTTTATGTCGCCCCCTGTGTGTGTCACAGTATTTTATTGTTGGATTGTATTTGATCTCAGCAGTTTAAAAAATTGCCGTAAAGATCCAACTGTGAGGCCTTGAATCATCTCCTTGTGTCTATCATGTGTTGTTGGATAGACAGTGACATCTAGAGAAAGACTTGTCAGCCTGTTAAGATGCACATTCTCAGCTATTTATACAGGAAGGAAAGTTTTTACACAAGGAATCCAAGTGCACCAGAGATGAAGAAATCGTCTTGAAGGATAATTCTGTTGTTTTTGGATCAGTTAGAGAAAGGATGATCTCTAAAAAGTAGTCAGAGGGGTCAGGAAATATTCAAACACATATTTGAAGGAGGAAACAAAGGCACACAGTAGCATTTTTACCCAAACTGCCATCCATCTCAGTTTACAGACAACTTCCTAGTTCAACTTTGGCTTACTGTACACATGCATGCATCCACGCTTCATTTGTTATTGAGGCGTTATTGAATTTGACATAAGCTCACTTCCAGTTTTATCTCCAAAATTGGTAGCTTGAATTAAAACGGACTTGATTGGGGCTGTCTGCTCATTTGACTTTAGTTAATGCAATGATCCTATATTATCAACAGCCACTTATGTCTATGTGCTCTATTTCTTAGTAAATCCTCATCTATGTCTCCTTTTAAATTCCCAGGTCAAGTTGGGAGCTCCCCGACCTGCGAGATGGCAAAATCCAGGCTATAAGCGACTCGGATGGGGTGAACTACCCGTGGTACGGCAACACCACGGAGACCTGCACTGTGGTGGGCCCCACAAAGAAGGACAGCAAGTTCACTGTTAGTATGAATGACAATTTCTACCCCAGCGTGACCTGGGGTGTGCCCGTCAGCGACAGCAACGTGCCTCAGCTCACCAGCATCCGCCGCGACCAGAGCTTCACCACCTGGCTTGTGGCCGTTAACCAGGCCACCTCAGAGACCCTCGTCCTGCATACAATCCGCTGGAGGATGCGGCTTCAAATCCGAGTGGACCCGGAGAAGCCTCTGGGTCAAAGGGCTGCTCTGAACGAGCCCGTGACCCAGGAACAGCCTCAGATCCTGGGCAAGAATGAGCCCATCCTCTCCAACGCCATGGTCAAGCCCAACGCCAACGACGCCCAGGTGCTGATGTGGCGGCCAAAGAATGGTGACCCCGTGGTGGTCATCCCACCCAAATACTGACCTGTTTCACTGACCTGTTTCACTGACCAGACTGGCCTTGGATACCTTAACAGTATCATCTCTTATTTTTATTTTGTTCCTGCTCGTCACCAGCTCTCACTGCTTTAACCCCTCCGCTCATTTTTGCCTCTTCGTTTAAAAAAAAGACTGAACGAGAGAGAAAAAAAGGCAAATAAAACCAGCTCTGTGAAAAAGACCAGCTGTTGCTCTGAGGTGGGGGCTTTTGAAACTGGAGCGAACAAACTGCAACCATTCTACCTTCAAATTGGGTCGGGATCGCACTGTGCTAAATGAAACTTTGCAAAAATGAAAAACAAGAGGATTTCTTTGTTTTTTATTTCAGTTTTATATGTTGTGATATGAGGTTTGTGAGTGTGGGTTAAGTATTTACATGTCTGCGCACATGATACATACATGGAAATGCACAAACCTTGTGTATGAATACCAGTTGTGTTTTTATTTATAGACTGGGACAGAGTGCATTTTATTTTGTTTATTGTTGCATTTGGTGACATAGTAGATTTTCAGTTTTCTTTTTTAAAACATGCGAGACATTCAATCCATGCTGCCTTAAGTTTACATCGCTTTCTACTGCAAACTTTTCAGCCTTAAACAAAGTGCAATGCAGTATTTTGGTCATTTGTCCCATCTCTACCAGACAGTTGGTGCTGGCATATGTGGATTTAGGAACAATACCATAGAAGAAGATCCTAGTTCCAAGTATTTTATGTTCAGTTGCATTTGCCTGACAAATGTATTGTCTCATGAGTTCAACCAGCATTACGGTACACACAGTTATACAACCCAGCTGGTTGTGTTTCAAGTGCGTTATGCAACGGAAGAGCTGTTCTGTACCGGAACAGAAAACACCAGTAAAGCCAACGCTCGTCAATAGCACTCAACACAGTAACGTGCAATAGCAACTTGAACAAAAAGTACTCAAAAGCACACCTCAGTTAACCTCACTTCATTAACATTATTCTTTTTATAGGCCGTTGTAACATTTAACATCAGACACAACTCTTCCTTTCTATTTATCACTCCATCTCAGGTCCTCTTTTTCACTTCCTTTCCTTCTCTTGATTCATCCATCCGGTCTGGCCTACTCTCTGGCCACAGTGAGTAACAGAGTGTTAGCACACATTAAACAATCAATACTATGATAATTTAGCAGCCACAGACAAGGAATACAACTGGAGACTTAAAAAACGGAGAATTAAAACAGTGGGATGTCTGCCATGTTGTCAATCTCGACAATCAAATGAACAGTTTTTTATTTTTTATTGTTGCCTTCCTTTAAACACCCTCTTTCTTTCCGTAGTACTAAGCATGTCTCTCATGTTGGTTCCTCAATCATCTGTAATCTTCATCTACACAAGAGTTCCTCCTCCCACTCCTCCCCCTTTCCCTCCCCCCTTCTTTCTCTCAAACGTTGTTGAGGCTGAAAAGCAGAGCAGGAGGCATTCAAGTTTCCTCCTGACTGCTCGGATGGCATATAGATGACCCACTTCTCTGCCCTGCCAGTTGTAGCCCTCACCGCTGATATGTGGGGTTGTTTCCCTTTTTTGTCCCTGCCAGAAAATACACGCAAACACATGAATACACAAACAGCTCTGGTCAGCTAAATACCAATATTCATTTATTTAATGTCTGTTTAGTTTTTAATCTTGAAAAAAAGGGCTTAATCTGCAAACTGAAACTCCTAAAAGCAGAGAAAAATGCTGAATTTTGCATCAAGGGAGGTCAAAATATAAGTAAAAAGGTTATTTATGCAAACATAGTATAGCGACAGCAGGAAACAAACAAAGATATTAAAAAATCTGCTAGGGAGCTCTGTAACTTTGCTATGTAAATGGCCAGATTTTTACTTTCAAATGTTGCAAACATCTTGCAAGCTTGCTGCTCTCGCCAACTTCCTGTGTTTTGCCTCTAACCAAAGAAATAATTAGCATGCAAGTCTAACCAGTTCATGTTTTTCACAAAGATCAGTAAGCTGCTGCTATTTCAGTGTATTAGTGTCTCCTGACTGTCAACTGTACAACATACCCATCCATCAAACTTGGTCCAAGCCGCATTTCTTAAGGATATTCTGTCCATTTAATTATTACAAAACAGAAACATTTTAAGATTTGACTCAGTTCTTTGACTTGCGTGATATTTCTACCAAAACTTCAAAGGAATAGTTTGACATTTAGCAAAACATGCTATTTTTATTCAAGATCAATACAACTCTCATGTATGCTAACTTTCCAGCTGTTAGCTTAGCTTAGCATGATGGGAAATAGCATGGCTCGTTCAAAAGGTAACACAATATACCTACTAGCACTTCCAAAGCAAAATTACCAGCACAATATCTCTTTTGTTTTATGCCTACAAACCAAAGTATACAAATGACAAATTGTGGCTTTACAGAGAGTGTCTACTCTTTTAGTGTTTTGCTAAGTTAGCCCTCTTGTTGTATATCCGCAACCCAGTCTCACAGCATTTCGTGTTATAGTCACAAAATTAATCTATTGATTCGTGTTCACCAACATGATTTCCCCATTTTTTTTGTGTCTCACAGAACGATTTAAAAGCAATGTAAATAATAACAAATTAGAAGGAAAGAAGTTTGAAAAAAATACAGATTTCAGTATTCTGAAACAGAACGATTTTAGAAGCAAAGTATTTATATTGATAGTATGTTTCGTGTCTGCACCAAAGAATAACAAATTAGATGGAAAAAAAGATTTAAAAATACAGATTTCAGTATTCTGAGGCTCTGAGCCCCATTTCTTTTCCTCGCGGACGGCAAAAAAAGTCAGACATTATACAATTTAAAATAAAAGCAATAATTGTGGCTTGATATTAAGTGAGAACATGTTTTTATGAACCACACAGCTTCTGGTCTTCCAAGACCCGACCGGACAAAAAGACGTGGTGCAGGCACGAAGCATGCTACCAATAGAAATACATTCCTTTTATCGTTCTGTGTGACACGGAAAAAATGGGAAAATCGTGTTGGTGAACACGAATCAATAGATTACATTTATTTCGTGACTATTACACGAAATGCCGTGAGACTGGGTTGGATTTAGATACAAAAGTGATACCAATCTTCCTTTCTAGTCCTCAACAACAAAGCGAGTAAAATGTTTAACTGTTTTTATAATCGTGAATAAAATTGAAGTGTAGTGTAAAAAAATTACATTCTATAGAGAATTAGCTTAAAACCTCTGCAGAGCACCATATGGATTAATGTAGCAATATTTAGCTGCACCAGAGCTCAAACGTCATTACGTCCATTTCATGCCACCAGCTAAACTGCTTTGTTCACTTATAGCTAAGCCCTCACAAGGCCGCATATAGACACTCCTGCTCGCTCTCATGTGTAACCACGATAGCCTCTGCTTCAGGCTGGGTCGCAGGGCGCTGTGCTGAAGGGAGACGAGAACTTTTGGAGGGTGCTGCTGTCATAATTAGATCTGCCGTGACACACTTCCATGCCCTAGATGGACTGAACTGTGCCGAGTCGTGCCATGCAATGCAAAGGCTAGCTAAAGTCATGGGTGAAATGTAAGTGAGGTCATATAGCAAAGGTCAGGGTCCAAGTGTGTGAAAGTCGCACTCAAAGTGTACTACAGATACATTAGCAGGGATGGATTTTAATATGATGGTGACATCAAATTGAATCAATTTAGCCAGCTTAAAATAACTCTGACATTTACCAAGAGCAACATGGATGTCAACCACAAGATATTTCAATTTGTGGTTTTGTTTTGAAGGCAGCAGGGAAAGCTGTGTTCAGTGGTATAAACGTAGCATTTGTGTCAGCCTCGAAATGACCTATGGAGACAGTGGACAGCACTCTAACTGGATTACATGTTATGAAATGTAAACACACAGTGTGTCTCACGCTCACAACAAGCATATGTGTGTGTATTCATGTGAGCGTGTCTGTTAAATCCTATTTGAGGGATTTAGGCAAGATGAGGAGTGTCACTAGTGTGCTTCTGCTTATAAGTCATGATGCTTTCTCTCTTTGGCTCTCTCAAACGCAGGAAAGGTTACGTCCTTGTCATAAAACAAGGACAGAGCTTGCCCCCTCTCTCACACACACACACACACACACACACACACACACACACACACACACACACACACACACACACACACACACACACACCCTGAGGCGAAAAAGGAGTAGGCCTGGCGTGGTATCTGATTGTCACAGCAGTGTCACATTGGCAGTGAGAACTCATTTATCAGCCCTGCACGTGGACCGTCTGAACACATGCTGCAAAGCCATATGCACAAACACGCCTGTTCAACCAATAAACAGGAAGTGATACATGTATCTTTTGTGTCTTGTAGGAGTAAGAACAATGGAGGAACTGAGGTCATTGAGTGGGTGCCTGTAAACTCTCAACAGCATTTCATGTCTTATTGTAGGATAAGGGTTCTAATTTTCTTCTGTGTGAATCTGTATTTATAATGTGTATTTTATGTAAACACAACAGAAGAACTTGCTTTACGGGCTTCCTTTACTAAGCCACAGAATAACATATTGTTTGTTTGTGTATGGAAGGCAAAAGGTGCCAAAATTGGACAAAGCCAAAACTATGCATTAGGACATCGTGCACTTTAGAACCTTGTGGCACTTAATTACAGTCCTGTTTTCAGTTGTTTAGGAACATTATTGGGCATATTTGTATTTCCAGGGAAACATCACAAATGTAGCCATGTGGACGATTGTTTTGCTATTTTCTGCTTGTAGGGCTGTGCCAAGCTAGGAGGTAAAAGCCTCCTCTCCTAAACACACATCATTACAGTTCTTCTGATGGCTGCTATCTTTGTTTCAAAAACTTTAAGAAGTGAATTAACTCCTATGAGACATCAGTTCATCCTAATCATCCCTTCATTCAAACCAATAAAACATCCCAGGTTCACACATAGGACCACCTGCCTTTATTTCCTGCCTTTGGTTTCATCTCATCTCAAGCAAAAGTTTATTTTGCCATTTTCCTTACTTCCAAAACAAATCCCACAGTCCCATGGTTTGAATACGACCTCAATGTAGCACATGTGATAATACGAGCAACTATGTATGTTTGTCTTCTGGAAATACAGCTCTGATGTAGTTAAAGCGGTTTTCGTTCTCTTGTTCAGCTTTGACTTTAACACCAATACTTGAAAATGGGTCTGTTCTGGCAAATATTTAAAACTGTGAAAATGCACAACACTGGGAAAATAAACCCTGAAAAATATATATAAAAAAGGTCTTTTTTCCATGAAGGAATAAAATATACAAATAATATCTGTTGTCTTTGTTTTGTAACTTTAAAGTGTAGATGTTGCTTTCCTTTGCTGCCTGGTAGCTTCTTCATTTCTCTCCCTAATGAATAATTGTATTTCATTAATCTTCTAGTTTTAGCCCTCAATGTGTCACTGTCCTTTCCAAACATGTGTTGATTCACTGTATAAATCAAAGAACCAAATAGCCCCTGAGCCACAGCAGAAAGAAAGCGAAGTCTTGAGCGCTGAATTAAAAAATCTTGAAAGCCTCCACGCATACGAACAAACCCCGAGGCGACACATACACGGTGGAGCACATGATGTACTGTATGCCTCGGCCAGATCTCTAAAGCATCAGGGAAACAAATTACATCCCTTTATGCGTCTCTTTTTGTTGATGATAGTGAAAAGCAATGAAAGAAGATACAGGACACAGTAGAGTGACAAAGATGGGACAGAATCAAGAGAAAAGCTAAGTAGAAATCCTTTAGAGTAATACTATTCTGACAGTGAGGGGACAAATAATACTGCATGGTATGAGGGTTACGCAATAACGCGTTATAAGAATATTACTTAAAGAGTACTCACCTCAGTCTTTCTGCTGCTTTCCGTATACTGCTTAAATACAAAAATGTTGAATTCATTTATTTATTATTTAGTCATTTCCTTCATGAGATTTGGGAGCGATATCGGATTGTCACGTGGTTGTTGTGTAAGGTGACGATAAAAAAAACATTAATAAATAATGAGCCTTTTTCTGGATTTCCACTTTTACTTTGCTTTCATTTAGCTAAATTGTTATCTGACTGGCAAGTTCATATTTTTCTCATTGCTATTAAAGATGGATATTTTCTAGTTATACTCTTATCTTCCAAAGGAGATTTAAATGAGACTTACATGACGAGCTAAATCCATTAGATAGGATACAATAGAGAAATGAAAACTATTTGTATCCCTCCGACACACAAAATGTATGAATCAGAAGCAGCTAATTGAAATGCAAGAGGGAACACAGGTATTCAGAAATGCTAAATGAACAGATGATTGAACCCATTGTGCACTTCTCCATTATAACTCTTTAAAGAGTTCTTCTCTGGGTAGCTTCATTTTAAGTCCATCACTTATAATATTTCCACATTAAGCACGTGGGTAATGTCTCCAAATTCATCTTTAGTCTGCACCAAAAGCAGGGAGCTGATATTATCCCTATCGGTACAGACTCAGAGATTTGGAAGGGGGTAATAGACTCATCTTAAGGCTGTTGGCTTTAATGAGAAATGTGAAAAGTGTGGTATCAGCGAAATAGGGCTGATCAGGTGAAGTGACACTATATAGGATTTAACGGCTGGTTTATCAAAGATGATTGATCCAAATGAAAGTCTCCAGCAGCAGCTTCTGTGTGCTGGACTACAGCCTCTGTGCTATCCTGGTCACATTCCTCAGCTCTACATTCACGGCTATATTTACTCGACTCAGAGACCAGGCAGTGTCTCTTCACATACTTCCACCTGTCCCTTTTTGTAATACGGACTAATCACCGTGCTGCTTTATCTTTGGCACCACACATTACTAAGCAATACTCCTGCAGTGCCGACGTTATGAGTTCCTATCGCGCTGGGGTTTATCGATCCACAGAAATATACCATGCTATTTTTGAAAAGACCTTCATCTGCACCAGGACTGACCTCTATATATAACTCTGTTGTTGGGAGCAGGACTGCACTTGATTTTAGTGCATTTTTGTGTGCATTGCAAACATTGAAGTATGATGCCTTTGAGTCACCTTTATATCTTAGAGGAATATATATAAAAAAGGGATTTTTTGAGGAGGTATTGTTATTGCCAATGTCATAACAGAATGATATGATGTACAGCTTCAGACTATTGTCTTAAGGTTTAAGGTTTCTAAGTAAGATGACTACCAAATGTAAGACTTTTTAAATGAGTTTATATTGAGTACCTTTTTAATAGCTTCCAACGTCTTATTTCTCTTTAAGGGACTGCATTGAATGCTTTAAATAATGTCCAAGGCCAGCAGGACAATATTATGGGATATATAATTGAAATGCAATGCTGCAGCAAAGTGGATAAATCACAGTTATGTTCAAGACAGGCACTCTCAATACAACCCCGACAGTTATGTAAGAGGTGTGTGTTTACACTACAACAGGGCTACATCTGGACTGCCAGACTTAAATAAGGACAACAACTGTTTACTATACTGTATGGTCCACTTCCCCATTGAAATTAATGAACATCCCACAAGCTGGGACAATTATAGGGAGACTTTAATTAACATCAGAGTAATTACAACGTGTAGTTGGATTCCCCCC